TCTTATGGATGAGCAGGAAGCGTCTGGAAAAGAGAGAATATTTCTCAACCAAAGGTTTTGGGTTTTTTTTGGGGGGGAGGGGGCTGATTTGAGGCACCCCGTGTGTGATGCCCCCCCCCATAAAAGAACAACCTCCCAGGTCCACCCCCACGTCCCAACTCACCGCCTGCAGCCGCCCCACGCAGGGCTGGGATCCCCATGGATGCGGGTGGGGGGCACACGGGGGCCAACCGCCCCCCCCCGGCGTCACCTCCTGGCCGCCCCCCGCTCCGTCCTGCCAAAAATTTAAAGCTTTTCACCCCCGAAAATAAAAAATCAGAGCGGGGTCATTCGGGGGCTCGGACACAAGGACCCCCCTCCCCCCCCCCCATAGGATTTTTGGGGTGGGGGTACCTGCAGCCCCCCCGTGTCCCGCAGCACAGCCCGCAGCAGGCGGATGTATTCGGCAGCTGCCCGCAGGGTGTCGGCTTTGCTGGGTCTGCGGTCCCGGGGCACCAGAGGAACCAAAGCCTTCAGGGCTGAGAACCCGCTGTTCAGATTCCTGATCTGTGATGGGGGGGAGACCTCAACCCGCATCAGCATCGCCCCGAACCGAGCCCCAAAAGCAGCCCCAACTGGGGGGACCCCGATCCCAAAAATCAGCATTGAACCCAAAGCCCAAGAGCAAGTCCAGAACCCAGGGCACACACCGACCCCAAACCCCAGAATACCAACATCAGCCTTAACCCCAAAGCACAGGATGAACCCCGATCCCAAAACAACACTGACCCCAGAGCCCAAGGGCAAGCCCAGAACCCAGGGCACACGCTGATCCCAAACCCACACCGACCCCAAACCCCAGATCCCCAACATCTGCCCTGACCCCAAAGCACAGGATGAACCCTGATCCCAAAACAACACTGACCCCAAAGCCCAAGAGCAAGCCCAGAACCCAGGGCCCACGCCAACCCCAAACCCACGCTGACCCCAAACCCCAGAATACCAACATCAGCCTTGACCCCAAGGCACAAGGTGAACCCCGATCCCAAATCAATACTGACCCCAAAGCCCAAGGGGAAGCCCAGAACCCAGACGCCAATGTCAAACCCTGACCCAAAACCCAGTGTATGTTCTGCCCAAATCAGCCCTGACCCCAAATCAATACTGGCCCCAAACCCCAGAACTCCAGCCCCAAAGGCCAAGGGCAAACCCTGATCCCAAACCCCAGGGCAGCCTGTGACCTCAAATCAGCACAGACCCCAAACCCTTGGGCAAATCCTTACCCCAAAGCAGCGATGATAAAAGCCAAGGGCAAATCCTGACCCCAAATCCCAGAACCCCAACATCTGCCTTGAACCCAAAGCACAGGGTGAACCCCAATCTCAAATCAGTATTGACCCCAAAGCCCAAGGGCAAGCCCAGAACTCAGACCCCAGAACTCAAGGTGCATCCTGACCCCAAGTCAGCCCTGACCCCCAGAAGCCAGACCCCAAGAGCAAACCTTGACTCAAACCCCAACGCACACTGACCCCAAATCAGCCCTGACCTCACATCAGTACTGGCCCCAAGCCCCAGAACTCCAGCCCTAAAGGCCAAGGACAAACCCTGATCCCAAACCCCAGGGCAAACCCCAACCCCAGAATCAACCCTGATCCCAAATCAACATTGACCCCAAAATCCCAAAACAGCACAAAACTCAAATCAATGTTGACCCCAAAAGCCAAGGGCAAACCCTGACCCCAAGCCCCAGAATTCCAACCTGCAGGGCAAATCCCAACCCCAAACCAGCTCTGACCCCAAACCCCAGAGCAAACCCCAACCTCACATCAGCACTGACCCCAGAACCCTGATCCCAAAGCCCCAGGAACCCCAAAGCCCTGATAACTGCGAGTCCCCAAGGCAAACTCCCAGTGACCCCAACCCCAAATAACTGTAGACCCCACAAACCTCAAACCCAAGAACCCTGACCCCAAATACCCACAGACCCCAAGAACCCTGACCCCCTAACAAGCTCTCCAAACCACAACTCACAATAACCACAGACCCCAAAAACCCCAACCCTAAATGCTTGGGAACCCCCAAACCCATAACACCCAGTGACTTTAATCCCCTAAAAGCCCCAAGAACCACGAGCCCCATTAACTGCAGACCCCAAGAACCACAAGCCCCATTAACTGCAGACCCCAAGAACCATGACCCCAGGAACCACGAATCCCCCCAACCCCCACAACTGCAGGCCACCTGACCCCACACCCACCCCAAATGGAACGGAAAACCCAAACCCCACAACACATCACCCCAATGTCCCCCCCCCCAACCCAAGACCTCCCCCCCACCCTATTTGGGGTCCCCAGCACGGGGTCCCTCACCCTCTCCCGTTCTTTGGCATTGGCCACCCGCCGCCGTTCCAGGACCCCCTCGGGGTCCCCCACGGCCATATAACCCCCTTTGGGGTCGCGGCGCAGGCGGGTGATGGGGGCTGCGTGGGGCAGGGGGCCGTGCTGCTGGCTCAGCACCACACCCAGCACCTCGGGGGGGGGGGTGGGCAGCAGCACCCCCAGCGCCCCCCGCTGCTCCCCCATAACCCGGCTGTAGGGGCAGAAGCAGCAGGCAGGGCAGCTTCTATAGAAAACCCTAAAAAGGGCTTCCAAATGCCCCATAAATACCCTCGGTTTAATGGGGTTGGGGGGGGGGGGGGGGGGGGGCTGCACCTGGTGCCCAGCTGGGGCTAACGAGCAGCGGCCTTTCCCCTAATTAGTGCTCGTTAGGGGGTGCACCACTGTGCTCCATCCGTATCTCAGCCCTATAACGAGCCCATGAGGCAGGGTGACCCCGATCCCAAATCAACACTGATCCCAAACCCCAAGGACAAGCCCGGATCTCAAAGGGCGAGCCCTGACCCCAATATCTGTGACCCCAATAACTGACACCATGACCCCAATAACCCCCAAAAGCAATGACCCCAATAACTGACACCCCCAATCACCATGACCCCAATAACCCCCCAAAAGCGGTGACCCCAATAACTGACACCCCTAATCACCATGACCCCAATAACCCCCAAAAGCAATGACCCCAAGAACCATGACCCCAATA